ACCTTGAGCCAGTTGCGCTTGAATTCGACGCGACACTGCCGGCCCGTGGCGCTCGCTGCAAGCGGGACCGTGGCGCGCAGCTCGCCGTGCTTTCGCTGTGACCAGCGCACGCCGAGGAGGCCGTCTGGATCCACCTCTGACCCGAGCGCGCGCTCGCGGCCGTCGGGCCGGGCTGGAGCGTCGTCGTCGTCGTCCGACACGGCGAGAGAGTCCCACTTGGAATAGTCTGGCATGCTCTGGCGCTGGCCGAGCCTCCTGAGAGAAGCGGGCCACCGAAGAGTTTGCGCCGACTTAGTTGCGCCGACTTGTTCACAGCCTTGTTATGAGAAGAAAATACCTGGCTCACCGGTGTGTATGCCTTGCTCCTTTAGGTGCTTTTAATACGTTCTGATTCTTGTGCTGATACTTGCGTCCGAGACTACTGCTTGCGTGACGTCTGGGTTTTCTTTTGTGTCGGCGTCCTGCCTGTCTCGGTGCGAGTTGTTCCCCTTTGTGCAGAGGCGCATGCACGGCCGTTCAGAAACTTTCCCAGCCGTTGGAATGGCTGCGCTCCCGCCCCTCACCGGGCCGAACGGGTAGTAGGCGTTGGCGCCGAAGAGGGAGGAGTCGCTGAAGGACGGGTAGTCGTCGGTCGTGCGGGGGGAGGAGTCGTCGGCGAGCAGCAGGGAGGGGAAATGCCTGAGAGGGTGGGGAGGGAGGCGTGAGGCGCGAGGCGAGGGGCGTGGGGGCGCGGGGCGCGGGGCGTGCGTGGGTTGCGCGGCGTGAGGCGCAGGGCGTGAGGCGGCAGGGCGCGGGGGCAAGGAGTTGTGTGTGTGTGTGTGTCTGTATGTGTGTGTTTGTTTGTTTGTGCGAGGGCAGGGAGGGCAGGGCAAGGCTTGTGTGTTGCCTCCGTCGAAGCCTCCGCCACCCTCGCCTTCCACACCTTGACCTCCACCAGCTGCCTCCCCCGCCTCCGCCTGCCCGGGGCCGCTGCCGTAGTGCTCCCCGGCGGGCGGGCGGGCGGATGAGGGCCGCGCTCGTCTCCTCTGCTTCCAGAGAGAGAGAGTCTCTCTCTCTCTCTGCTTCCATGCTATTGGCGCGCAGATACGCGAGAAGAAAGCGTCCGCGCGAGGCGTGCTGAGAGTAAGGGCAACGGTCCCTAGGTTGAACTTTACGATCGTATCGCCGAAGTGGCAAAAGAATTTGCGACCAATCGCCTTCAAAGAGAGTCGAAGTCGGGTAGTCGGGTAGGGGGGCCGATGCCAGTGCCTGCTGTCTTTGTCCTGCTGCTGACCCTATTAGGCATCAGCGCCGGCCTGCGCTTGCCAAGGTGTGCGGTCGCCACCTCGAAGCAGGGCTCGCTCCCCATTCGCGTCGCCGTCCTGCAGGAGCTGCTTCGCGCTCCGCTAGCGAGGATCTCACAGGCAGAGCTGGCTGAGCTCAAGCTGGAGCTGTCCGAGATGCAGCAGCTCTTAGTCGACCCCGGCGAGCTGGTGGAGGTGTGTGAGCATCCCCACGGCCCGCAGTATGTGCCCAAGGCGATGCGCGGTTTCAGCGCCTGAGAAGAGATC